TTTCCCTCTCAGATGATTTTCATATTTTTCTTTTAGATTTGGACTGCCATCTGGCTCATTTTACTTTTATTTATGACTTTACTACATTATTACTGTCCTCTATAGAAACCTACAATTTTTCTTTCTCCATCTAGCATATCAAAGATATTTTCATTATCTTTTTGCTTTTTGTTTCTAATGAAATGAGTGATCATTTTTAATATTCTACTAAAGATAGTATACCCTTTTTCTCTCCCTGCCTTTAAGGTTTTATAGCAATGGGTTTCAGCAGTGAGTCCATGATAGCCTTTTTCTTTTGTACTGTTCTTCCTTGGGTTTCGTAAAATAGGAATACTAATTGAATATTTTGAACCATTATTTATTCAGCATTTTATCTTCTCTTTTATCCTCTAGTTCTGTAGTCATAAGTTTGATTTCCCACTTATTTCTCTTTCATTTTTTCATGTTTTTCTTTTTATTCATTTAAGTTGACTAATTGACCTTGAACTATCTTTGAGTTCTTTATTTTGCTGCGTCAAATCAGCTCCTAACCTCGTTATTTTTTTTTCAGGAATTTAAAAAAGTTCAGTCATATTTTTTCATTTCTAATGGTTTACGCTTTCCATGTTTTTTTCCTATAATTTTCTATCTTCTTACTCATGTTGTTCATTTTCTTCTCGATTCCTTAAAAATTTATAGTAATATTTTAAAGTGTTTTGTTGCTTTATTTAGCATCTATGTTGACTAAAATTCCTTCTGTTTTTTTAACCTCCTTGATTTTTTTTTCTGTTTGCATGTCTTGTAAATTTTTAAAATTGTGTCATAGATATTCTATATTCAAGAATGGTATAGAGAAGCTAGAGAGGTTGTTTAGCAGTTAGGAGCACCTGCTGTTCTTGAAAAAGACCCAGGTTTGGTACCTAGCACCTTCAGTGGCTCACAACTGCGTATTAATTGCAATTCCAGGGGATCTGATGCCCTCTTTTGGCCGCCCTGAGCACCTCCTCATATGGTGCACGTAAGGTTCACGTACATATACATAAATTAAATACAACAAAAAAGAATTGTGATAGAGCTGAACATGGTGTGCATTCCTATAAACTCAACTACTCTGGAGACTTGAGACAAGACTGACACTCTCAAATAAAGGATGAGATGTACCTTAGTAGTAGAGTTTATGCCTAGCACAAGCAAGGCCCTGTGTTTGATTTCCAGTACTGAAAAAGAAAAAAAGAAAGGGGGTTGAGGTTTTGTGGAGAGATTAATGTAGCTATATATTCTTGAGCATTCTCTGTTTTGCGTGTGAGGAAGGATGAGAGACTGTCTGCTTTTGCCCAAGTCAAGAATTTGGTTGAGTTGGGGTTCAATTGGTGATTGAGTTATTTTCACTTCATAGATTTCAAGAATAGTGTATCTTCGTATTTATTTGTTTTTCCTTTTTTGTTATTGCAGTGGTAATATTTTGCATTTAAATTTGAAGTAGATCTATCACTCTTTAGGGTTAAGTATAGTGGAAGTGTTACCTGTGATAGCCACCTTTTCCAAATTTTACAAGTTTCATCAGCTTTTTATAAATATTTCTCTAATGTGTTTATGGACTTTTCAGTCCATTACTGTCCTTTCTTTAATCTTTCTGTTTGTATATAGAATTGGGAATGACTTCACTTGTGAAATGATTTGTTACCTCATACTTGGAGTCATTCACTTTTCCAAGCAATACTATTTTATATTGCCTTGATGTGTTATACAATAGCTTTTATACTGCAGGGCCATACAGGAAGGTAGTACCTATTGTTTCTACTTAAATGCATTGGTTTTTTGTAGTTGTGAAGTCAAAAAAATCATAAGCAGGGTCATCACAAGTCAGGGCTGCTTATATTCCTTTAAAAGAGAGTACATTGTAAAAGATACTATATGTGTCCGTGCTCTGAGGTCCTCTTATTACTTGGCTTCATTTTTCCCTTTGACTTTGAAGCTTTTCTAGAAAATTTTTATTCTATTTATGTGTTCTCAGGTATTTGAATTTAAACGATTTGAAGATAGTTTTTACATTATTGTAAATGAACCATATAACAGCTGTCTTCATATTGTGTATAAGATATGTTTTTTGCTCCTTAGACAAATAATGGTTTGACAGATAATCAATGTAGAGAAATACCAAGACAGAGGATTAATTACTGTTGGAGCACAGAGCCATTTGAATTTGTTTGGTATGATAGTTTAACTCACTTCTTAAGTGTGAATGTAAGGTTCAATTAAAGCAAATTTATTATGCAGAGAAAGCTTTTGATTTTCATGTTACCTTGTTTTATAATATTTAATTGTAAAACTTAAAGTTCAATTGAGGTTTTAATTGAGCATTCTTAGTTTATATTTGTCTTATTTGTCCTTATTTGTCTTGACTTAAGTTTTTTAAGTCTCTCTTGCCTCTTTCAGTTTAAAGTGGTTATGCTTTTTTGTATTGTGTTATACAAGTATTGATTATACAAGTTATACACTTATATAACACAAATAGGGTATTTTTGTCATCTAGGCTTTTGTTACATGCAAGTATCTGCTAATTTTTTTTGTTTCTTTGGTTTTGTTCTTTTTTAAAAAAAATTGTTTTCATGATTTCATACACTTTTATAATGTAATCATATTCTCCCCCTTTATCCTCTCTTACCTCCCTTTCCTCTTTTACCAAACCAATCCTTCCCAAATCTCCCTCTTCCATGTATATGTGGCCCACCAAGTTTAAATAGGTTGCCTTCATGAGCATTGATGTTGGTGCTGGGGTTATTTACTTGATCAAGAACAATTTACCAGTGGCTATACCACTGTGAAAAATGATTCTTCTCCAGCAACCATTGACTGTCTCTAGCTCCTCATGGAGGGGCTGGGGCTTATGAGTCTCTTCCCTAGCCATGATGGAATGCGTGTTGATAGGCCTAGTCTTGTGAAGGTCGTATTCAAGTGGTTATTGCTGATAAGAGTTCGTGGGTGCAAAGCCATTTCATGTCCAGAAGACTTTGTTCCACAGCACATTTTTTCTGGGATCTTTTCTAAAGTAACATCAGAATTTCTAGAATTGGACCAAATCTAATTTTGTTGTATAGTCGGGTAAATGAAGATTTTATTAGTCTTTGGTTTGGAATCATTAGATAGTACATTATTTTTCCCTTTCAAATATATAATAAGACAATGTTAAAATTGTATTTATTCAGCATGCCTTTAATCCCAGCACTTGGGAGGCAGAGGCAGGCGGATCTTTGTGAGTTTGAGGCCAGCCT